AGAACCTTATCACAAGTTTGAAAAAATAGCAGCAAATGTTTCATAAACAAAGAACATAACTTGATAATGTTGTGAAAGCTAGTTTTGTAGTTAGTTCTAAATTGGCGAAATCATTAAAACCATTTGCTGAAGGAGAATTTACCAAGGAGTGTATGTTAAAAGTTTGCAGTGTTTTGTGTCCTGAAAAGAAAAGTGAATTTGAAAAAATTAGTTTGTGAAGATGAACTGTTGTCCGACGTATAGAAATGATAGCTAATGATATAAAAAACAACATTGACTGACCGTATGGCTGATTCTGAATCATTTTCCATAGCATTATATGGAAGCACCGATTTGTCTGACACTACTCAACTGGCTATATTTATTCGAGGTGTTGATAAAGAGTTCACTGTTACTGAGGAATTGCTTGCTTGAAAGCCGCTAAAAGGAACAAGAGAGGACATTTTTAATGAAGTTTAAAAGGTATTTACAAGTTTTGGCTTGCTATGGTTAAAATTAGTTGGAGTATGCACAGATAGCGAACCTTCTATGGTCGGCTTACGTAAAGGTTTCATCGGAATTTTGAATGAAAAAGCAACTGAGTCAAATGTGCAAAAAGATTATTTGATAGTCCTTCATTGCATTATCCATCAACAGAACTTGTGTTGTAAGTCCATTCGACTCCGGAATATTATGAATGTGGTAGTGAAAACCATCAATTGTATTTGATCCCGAGGGCTTAACCATCGTCAGTTCAAAACGTTTTTGGATGAAATATCAGCCGAATATGATGACGTAACATATTATTGTGAAGTCAGATGGCTAAGCAAAGGGAAAATGCTGAAACGGTTTTACGAACTTAGAAATTAGATGGCCGATTTTATGCAAGTAAAGAAAAACCACTATCTGTATAGAGCTACCGAAAATGGATATGTGATTTAGCATTTCTGGTCGACCTTAAAGGCTATTTGATTGATTTAAATTTGAAACATCAAAAAGAAGGACAATTAGTAAATGATTTATACAGTCATTTAAAAGAATTTTAGAACAAAATCCGGTCGTGGGAGGTATAGATGCTGTCTGGTAACAGTTACCATTTGACCATGCTCTATACGTATGAAAATATTGCTTATGCTCAATACGCTGAAGAACTCAAGTTACTGTCAGAGCAATTTTCGAACAGATTTAGGGATTTCAAAAATATGGAAGATTGTTGCAATTTATTTGCTACTCCAACAAAAAGTAATGTACAAAATGCTCCAGTACACTTGCAAATGGAGTTGATCGAGATTCAAGAAAACTCACTCCTAAGATCTAAATTTGAAGACGTAGAGTTGTACGATTTCTACAATAATTACAAAACATCGTACAAGGCTGACTGACGATAATTTGGAAAATTCTTTCTGTTTTTGTATCAGTGGAATTTATCCAAACATCGATGGATTAGTCTCCCAAATTCAAGCTCAAGTGTCTCATTGATTTCGGTGCCGCCATTTAATTTTTGTAGTTTGTAGTAGTTCCAAATTTCACGCTTTAACTATAATGCTGTACCTATTTTTTTTCATTTCATTTTATTTTATTAAATTGTATTATAAAAACATTGTCGTGTTATTTCGTGTCTGATATCTATCGCTAAAAATTATGTACATCACTTTAAAATACACTACTTTTGAACGCGGCCCACGAACGTATTTGTACACTAAAGCTTGGCTCACATGTCAAAGGTTGCCAATAACTTAACTAAAACAACTCATTCATTAAATGAAATTAATAGGAGTAATGATGTTTTGTCTGGCTTTGCGAAGAAATTTAAATAGTTGGATCATCAAAAAGGATCTGAGTTTAATTGGAATTCCTCCTATTTTACTAAAAACACATTATGAAGAGCTTTGTACACCTTAATTATATTTAATTAAGGTGTACAAAGCTCTTCATAATGCATTTTTATGAATTACATTTAATAAACCCATTCAGTGCTAGTGTGGTAAAAATATTTGAATGACTAGTTTACAATTCACTATATAGCCATTCTAAATTGATGCTGTCCCTCAGACAACATGGCTTTGTTAGGTGTAGCTCTATTTTATTAATAATTATTATTTAAACTTAACAATAATCTTAAGTTTAAATTCGACTATTTTTATGTTATCGATTTCTGTCTTCACTTGTTAATATTTGTCTTTCTTTATGTGCGTTATTTTTTGTATCTTTTCCTTTTAAATGCTATGCTAATCAGGCTGAGTACACTTTTTTTAGATTCCAGCCTAAAACAGAATTTAGTATTTCATATAATTGGTTCAAATAATACAACTCTAATCAGAACCTGTTAATAAATTAAAATTCATGATGAAATGGGCATATCTTCTGATTACGTTTTTTAGAACTTTTAATTTTTCATACCTTTATATGAGATCATCGACTTTAGTAGTTTTATACATTTCAACATGATATGTTTATTCATTCTTGAGAAAAAAACGTCTTTACTGATAATCAAGTAGACAAACAGACAAACTAGGGAGACAGATAGACGGATAATAAAACAATTCTGTAAGAGTTCCATTTTTCTTATTTTGAGCTACAGAACCCTAAAAGGCGATGGAAATTCGAAAGTACGCAATATTATCCACACAAAGCAAAATCTTGAACGCGAAGATTCATTCCCTACTTATATTAAAATTTATTTGCCTGAATAGCTAGCTAGCTCCTTTTATTACAACATATTTTGTGTTGGATTCTTTTTGATTTTATGATTAAAATGTTGACGCCTATGTTTTTATAAGCTTTATCCATATACCTGAGAATAAAACATTTAAATGTCGAGTATCTTATACGTTTTAATTTGAAGATGAGACATTAGCTAGAGACGCGAAATAAAAAAATATCAAATAAAAAAGAAGGTATTTAAGATAATAAATTGCGAATAACGCAACCAACGAAAGAGTTTATAGTAGAACATACCGCTTAGTCTATTTAGGTATCTACTGAATTATTAGAATATCAGTACTCTGCATACACTTCTAGGATGATTGTTTGCATTGATAAAATAGATATTACTTGTATGCACATAAAACAATAAACGGAAATAAAAAAAACCGACAAGTAATTTTTAAAAAAAATAGTAAATTCTAAAGAGCATGCATATTTCAAATAGGACTGCAATGTTCAACCTAACCGTAAATCGTAGTACGATATCACGAAGACATTCTGTTGCAAAATTTTGTCAAGACCTTTTACAGAAACATTACAACTGTTAATCTCGTAAATAAATTCAAGAGTCATTCAATGCTTAATCGAAAATGCTTACTTTTTGGAATTCAGATAAAATTCGATAGGAAGAATTCCCCAAAAGCATCACTGCCACGCTTATTTAATTAACTAGAGTGTGTTAGAGAGTAAAATAGAGAGAGAAAGTAGCTGAGAGTCGAATGGAGAGGGCATAACGCTTTTTCCTAACGTGACGATTCCTGCTAACTAACATCTGCTGTAAGTGGCGTTAAGAAACTTCGTTCCAAATTTCAGCGTCGCTAATAAACGGAGCTACAGAACGTAAACGAAATAGAATTAATTCCCTGCCGCGTCCATATTGCAGGCAAGATCTTCACACTATGGTCTACGCGAATTTATAAATTTATAAACGCGACACTAAATGTGTACTTACTGTTGGTTTTAACGGTTGGTAAACCTTAAAAAAGCCTAAACCCTTATGCCCATCCAGGGAGAAATTTTGGTGACAAGAATTTTAAATTACGCGGTGCACCATCACGTGTATTTTTGTCGGATTTCATCACCCTCCTGATCCTACGCAAAAAAAAATGTATAAGAATTATTGTAATTTTATTTTACAGAATACAATTCCATTCATTCAAGTTCTAGCTAAGAATTGATACAATGGTAAATAATTGTTTGATTAGATAAAGCCGTTAAAAGTTTATTGATTAAATTAAAATAATGTGAAAACAGTAATTTTGTGTAAAAGTGTATACCATATTATGACATGACCTTAAAGTTATAATATAAAGTACACACGATAGGGTTTTTGACTCTTTTTCCTATATTACTGTATTTAAAGGTTTTTTTTTATTTGAGTAAAATAACAGTGAAAACGTTTTCCTTTTCGATAACTATTGCTTTTATTCTTTTAAGAATTGTTAAAAGTAACACAAAATTAAGAATAATATTATATTTCATGCGTAAGTTTGTTCTAAAATAATTAATTTAAAATTTCTATAATGATATAATGTAATGTAATGCAAAACAAGATACAATGTATAAATAAAAATGTGACGAATATACATTTCCTTATTTACTAGGAGATTTTTCCTTGTCAAATGCCTACCTATCTATTTACATGTATGATACCAAACATATAAAAACTTCACTTACATTACAAATGAGATAAAGTCTGAAATTTTATTTTGTAGGAAATGTTGCCAGTCTTGCAGCTTTAATTGATAATAATGTGATGGGATTCCACTTAAATTATGCACTTCCTTAATTAAACTATGTTTCCGTTTGTTAAAAGTATTTGAACGTTACTTTTAACACTTCGTTTTGTGTGATAAAGAGCAGTGTAAAAATTGTTTGACATGTGTTAAAACTTGAAAATGAATTTGTCCAAAATATTTTCGCATACATCTCATGACGCCATAGTCACTTTTTGAACACAAATGATTTTCATAATGAAAGAGACGCTTAATCAATCATTACAATTACTGAAAAAAAAATGCTTATGCATTTAGGTTTTTAGAGCACTTGCAAATAAAATTTCGGAATAGCATTAAATATTTAAACACTTCAATGTGAAGAAGATCACGTCTCACTACTGCATTATAAATAATTATATTTTCGTACATATGTACACAGCACCGTCTGGTCCCAAACTAAGCAACGAGGCTTGTATTATGGGTACCAGACAGATATACTATATACATACTTTTTTTTTTTGTAAATATATACGTATAATACATAGAAACACCCAGACTCAAGACAAACATTAATTTTTAATCAAATAAATAAATGTTTGTCTTGTGTGGGAATCGAACCCACAACCCCAACGCAACAAGTAGGGTCACTACCACTGCGCCAATCAGGCAGGCATTAACTTGTAAGTGCTGTAAATACAATTTTTTATCAAATTTGATGATACATATTCATTTTAAAATTCAGTCTAATGCTACCATTTACAGCATTTTTGTCTGTCTGTCTGTATGAAAATAATGAAAAAAAAAACGATAATTGCTAAATTTCAATTTAAACTCAGCAAAACGGACGGTTGTGTCTAATTCAAGACGGCACATTTTGCATACGAAATCATTGCGAGAGACGAGACTGACCAGTACAATTTTCATTAATACACACCGCTATACGGCGTAAAGGTCGCGCTCGACTCGCGCCACCAAGTTTAATGGACAAACTCGCCGCAATCGGCACCCGCCCACCGGAGACACCCGACGGCCTGACGAGCGGCGGCGCGGGCAAGGCCAAAGTCACAACTTAGCCCCGACAACTCCGCCTCGTCTTCGGTCCGATTTCGCTGTTTCGAGTTCCGGATTAGTTTACGGGAGTCTGCCGTCGCGCGATTATTCGCCGCGGGCGCCGCTAGATCCGATGGATCGACTGAGTCACGTCACTTTGTCTCTGGGATACGTCAATCGATGCGGGCGGACCACGTCACGGGCCCAGGCTCTGCAACGACTTTCGTTGTGTTCGCTAGAAGATCTGCGGACTCTGAGCGGACTCTAATCGTTTACGCTCGCAGATTGGGGAGAACGTATGGAGCGGGAATGAAACATGCGATCATGATAAAAAGTTATCTAGAGCAACGTAAGTTGTTTACAAATTCTTTAAATATTGGCAAAACTGTGTGCCCGTTTTTAGGCTCTATGAATGGAAAAAGAATTTGACAAACCAAATTGGCGTCCGTTTATCAAGAACAGTTCTTTAAGTTTATTTGTTTTATCAAGCTTTTGTCGCGTCACAACGAAGGCATTGCGTTCTCAAAGTGTTTAATTTCTAATTGAAATTTTATACCTTCGTGCTGATGCGATACGGTTAGCTATTAAGTATTATAAAAATGGTGAATGTATAAAATGAGACACTTTTTTAATTTTTATTTATAAGATTTATTTATAAGATTTGTCCTGAATACTAACAAAAACTTTTCAATTTTCAGTTGAAAAAGCCTCACGGTAATTGACTTCTTTTTAGTATTTTGCACCAAAACTGTTAAAAAGATACAATTATGAAATCCGTTCGGTGTCTGTCTGTTACATGTCTTTTTATCAAAAGTTATTCTACGTAAATTATCAAAACAGGGTATATGGGGCATAATTATTAAAACACAATAAAAAAAAAACGTTTTTTTTTTATTTAGAAGGTTAGCGTAAGAGTCAAAAAACTTTTGAGGTTAGTTTCACTGACACTAGCTTTATCAAACGCTAGCGGATTATCAAGACAACACTTTATTATCTTCAAACTAAATTAACATATAGACGTGGACAACAGACAAGACAATTAACAAAACATAGACAAATAAGTATCTATAACAGAAGTTATTACTAAACTCAGTTGGTTTAATATTCTTTTCTTTTTTTCCCATCAACTTCGTTTGAGATAGAAGTATAATTTATACTACAGCAAAACATTTCAATTTTCCTTAGAAATTATAATGAGAGCACCATATAGAATATGTATGAAAATAACATCAATATCTTTACATGCGGTAATCCTTCGCGACACGAGGAAGTTTTAATATAAAAACGCGATGCGCGAAAGGCGAAGTAGTCCATTAAAATGTTACATTTTTTAGGCCTTACCTTGCGTTTTTTAGAGGACGTAATTTTATTTTTTTGATGTGTGGGGGGGGTCAGTGTAAAGCTAAAAACAAGTTTGTGGGGTCGCCACCCGTGTCCCACGACCGCCATCTTGAAAATAGGGGTTGAAATGGTATTTACGATATATCTCTTAAACTATTTATTTGATAAAAAAAATTTGTTAACATTTTTTGTTACAAATTAAATTCTCTACAACTTTGGTCCAGTAACTTTTTGTCGTATAACTATAAATAAAAAGTTATAAGCGAAAATCTTCAGAAATTCGAGAAAAATTTATATTTTCGATTTAACTTTTTATCATTTTACGAAAAAATGATATCTGACCATTTTAGATCGTTTTTGAGGAACAACTTTCATTCGCATCATTTTTCATTAAGTCAATAGTTAAGGTTTTACAGCTCCGAAGTGAGTACTATTTTTCAGTACTCTTAACTATACCTATATTATACGTGTGTACCTATAATATGTCATCAGTTATTGATTGTTTTTATTTTTTTACTTTATTATTATAATTTTTAATTCTAAATTTTGCAATATTATTAATAATTAAATATTGACTCTTTTCCCACCACCACGAGGTAGAGTCTAGAGGCGCGTTTTTTTTTACGTGGTATCCCCAATAGGCATAATCCACGGTGATTTTCTAAATTAGAACTACTCCGTCCTCAGTCGTTTCGATGGACCAGGCTGCGGCTCAGCATCTGATCGGGTTTCTGAATTAGGTACCGGTGGGAGAGCTGGAGAAGGAAGGGGAGTTAATGTTGGCGGTTCATCATCAAAGTCATTTTCATTTATTAATTGAAGCTTCTAAAATTGATCTTTTGCAAATGCAAAGGAAACTGTGGAGCGATGTGTGGATGCCGAAAAGCAGGAATGAAATGTTCTGCAGTATGCTTCCATTGTTCTGGAGAGACTTGCAGCAACGTAATGGAACTCTCAGAATTAATAAATGAAAATGACTTTGATGATGAACCGCCAACATTAACTCCCTTCCTTCTCCAGTTCTCCCACTGGTATTTAATTCAGAAACCCGATCAGATGCTGAGCCGCAGCCTGGTCCATCGAAACGACTGAGGACGGAGTAGTTCTAATTTAGAAAATCACCGTGGATTATGCCTATTGGGGATACCACGTAAAAAAACGCGCCTCTAGACTCTACCTCGTGGGTAGTGGGAAAAGAGTCAATATTTAATTATTAATAATATTGCAAAATTTAGAATTAAAAAATTATAATAATAAAGTAAAAAATAAAAACAATCAATAACTGATGACATATTATAGGTACACACGTATAATATAGGTATAGTTAGAGTACTGAAAAATAGTACTCACTTCGGAGCTGTAAAACCTTAACTATTGACTTAATGAAAAATGATGCGAATGAAAGTTGTTCCTCAAAAACGATCTACAAAATGGTCAGATATCATTTTTCGTAAAATGATAAAAGTTAAATCGAAAAATATAAATTTTTCTCGAATTTCTGAAGATTTTCGCTTATAACTTTTTATTTATAGTTTTACGACAAAAGTTACTGGACCAAAGTTGTAGAGAATTTAATTTGTAACAAAAATGTTAACAAATTTTTTATCAAATAAATAGTTTAAGAGGTATATCGTAAATACCATTTCAACCCTATTTTCAAGATGGCGGCCGTAGGACAAGGGTGGCGACCCCACAAACTTGTTTTTAGCTTTACACTGACCCCCCCCCACACATCACAAAAATAAAATTACGTCCTCTAAAAACGCAACCCCAAATGTAACTTTTCAATGGACTAAAGGGGATTTGTTCGACAATGGGCCGACACGTGTTTCTGTGTCGGCACATGAACGCGAACAATGTTACTAAATTGATAAATAACGGTCGCTTTAGACAAACATAATATATAAACAATTTATATCGAAGGAAAATAAGTGTATAAGAGAAAATTCTAAACTGGACATATTAGGCCTAAAAGACACATTTTCTGTTCGTTCGGTCTTCAATAACTTTTTAGCATATGTACTTTATGTCATTTAGGTTTATTGACGTATCAACGTAAGTGTAGGACATATCATTACGTTTTGTCCACTTGAGGGTAAATAGCAATCATTCGAATTTAAAAGAAAATATTGTATAGATTTTTTTTTTAATTTTCTGTACTGATCCTATCTCAGTATTGCACTCAATAAAGTTCTCAGTTGCTTCCGATTTTAGCCTTGTTATTAGGCTCGATGTTCTCTCGAGCCCTTCGATTATCCGGTTGCGCTACCGATCACGCTATTGCTTTGATCCAGGTTCCACTTGGCAGATCCGATTCTGGTATAGCTCTTATTTGTTGACTAAGCATCGCTCTTCGTTTCGATTCCAATCCCGTTCTACGTTTTGAGCACGATTACGCATTCACTTCAACTTTCGATTCGACTCCTGCTTTCAATCATATTGAGGTAGCGTTATAATGCAAAAATTATGTCTTCAATGAAAAGTACAACTATTTTGGATATAAAATCTTAGGTATAAGAAAAAAAACAAACTAACAATTGTTTAAACATGATTACCTATGTTCTAGCTAGAGATACAAGTCTGCGTGAAAATTTTTTAGCCACTGATAAATCAGTTTGCATGTCAGATAAAAACAAGCAAAAGTGAACAAAGGTTTGATTTCAAATAAAGATTTCAATTGTACCGTAAAATTTAAATATCAAAGCAGTTTAAGTACTGCGAAATATATATTGTATATGCCTCAAGCTATTGATGACTGAGTTTTCAAAAACACTGCAAGTTACATGACGCTGTCGTAAAATCTATCGCTCTTGATTTGATCTGATAAGGGTCACTTATCCGAAATTACCTCAAGACGTTTTTGTTTCCAATCAGAAGCTAAAATATTGTTATTATTTATATTCTAAACTTTGGCTTTCCATACAAACCATATTACTCGCGCAGATCTTGTTGAAAAAAAAGCTCATCTTTTTGTTGACTTCATGCATTTCTGTCACCTGTCTCAATTCAAAACAATCCCCAATACAGATAGACAACATTTGGATTTGGTCCTTGCTAGTTCTGGTGAGCTTCATGTTACAAAGTTGCTGACGGCATCCTTCGCTTGGACTCGTATCATCCGGCTCTTGGTATCGATGTTAGATATTATAAAGCGTATAAACTTCTTACTCGTAGTAATAATATTTACTTAAACTTTAAGAAAAGCGATTATAACAAAATTCGCTCGGAGTTAAGTAATATTGACGGGCTTAGATTGCTTTCGTTGCCTGATATAGAT